AACCCCCCCCCCCCCCCAAGAAATCAAGGTTCTCGAGGGTAGTTCAGTGAGCCCTACGCTCCACGGAGCAAAGCATGAGCTCGACGAGAATATGCATACAGACATATGCACTTATATTCATTTACTCAAGCTTGTTGTTTTTTTGTTTTTCACTTTTCTGATTTCTTTATAGTACGTTTACTTCTTAATGCAGCTTGCAGGGTATTCGGTTGATAGGTCTATGAGGGCATAGAGCTTTGAGCTTGAGAGTGCGGGGTTTGGTTGAGGCTTGAGTGTTTAGGGTTAGGCCTGGCGCAGTTTTCAGACCTGTACTGCCTTTGGGGGCATCCGGGGTGTAGAGGTTCGGGTTTGGGGATTCTGGCTTTGCGGGAAGTATGGTGGTTGCTGCACCCTAAACACTAAACCCTANNACCCTAGACCCTATAACCCCTAAACCTTAACCCCTAAACCCGAGAGACCCTAGACCCTTAACCCCAAAACCCTAGACCCTAAACCCTAGACCATCAACCCTAATTAAATCCTAGACCCTTAACCCCAAAACCCTAAACCCTAACCCCATAGAGCTGTCGGGCATCCGGACCTCGAGCCTTAAGGCTCTTGGGATCGCTTTTGAGTCCGCTGACGTTTTGGGCGGTCCGTGCCACACCCAAGGGTCATAACCCCACCCCTTTAGGGTTTAGGGTTCAGGGTTTAGGGTTTAGGGTTTAGGGTTTAGGGATTAGGGATTAGGGATTAGGCCTACTTTTCGATGCGACCGATCCTAACCTAAACACTAGGCACCTTTAACAAAGGGGTAAGGTATGGTATAACCCCTCAGGTACTTTCTATTGCAGGGAGTTCCAAAGATATGCTTGCAGTTACCTTCGAAGGACAGGAGAGTCAATCCTTAGCGAACCCTGAGCCGTCAAGCACAGACCAGAGCCCTCACCCTAAACCCTAAACCCTAAACCTAAACCCCAAAGCCTAAGCCCTAAAGCCCAAACACAAACCCAAGCTCTGAAGCCAAACCCTACACCCTGAACGCTAAGCTATTTCGGGGAGACCCCATCTTGAAACCCTACCTACAACACACTATGAAAGTTCCAGGCCCTGAACCTAAACCCTCTATAAGCCTGAAACTTAAACCCTCTAATATAGGGGCCTAATTACTTACCAATCTTAGTTTGGGGGTTCCTTGTTATAATTGGAGTATGATGGGCCCCAAAACCCTATTCTAATTGTTAAGGCCCCTACACCCTAAACCCATATAGTAGCCCTTATAGAACCCTGTAAGTAGCCCCTTTAAAGGAGCCCTATGAAACCCAAACCCTAAACCCTAAACCGTAAAGGCCCCTACGTTACAAACCCTCGACCTGGCTTTCAATGGCCCGGCTTCTTTCTCTCCGTGTCCATGGCCAGGCTGTAGCAGAGCAAGCTCCGGCGGTGCCACCTTACGTGCCCTGGTCTGATGTTCGGGTGTTACCGGGTTGAGGGTGCCAGGAGATAGATCGTAACATACCCCAATGCCTAATTCTAAGTATTCAGGCCCCATTGCCTTAGATTGGGGATGTGCCTAGAGTTAGCCTTGCAGCTCCAATTATCTACAGTCAGTACACGATTCCATTCTGGTCCATAGGTTCTTGCAACACGAAATTCCGCAGAAAACCCTGGCCCCTAAACGCTCAGCCCGAAATCCTAGAGCATGAAGCCTAGATCCTACGCGCGAAACCATAAATTTGCAGATGTGGGTCTGTAATTGGGAGTTACATTGTGGAGTTATGTACAAAGACTATCAACGCTCAGAGACTGGCACCAGGCTGAACCCGGTTTTTTCACTACATATTGCCTGCTGTTTCTGTGTCCGCTTATGCATATTTTGCAACACGCTGGGCTCTATATGGTACAGGTACAGTAGGCGGAACCTAAATGAGCTAGCTTCGGTGTCATTTGCTGTCGCTGACTCCGGCGCATTGGACCATAAGTGTGTGCTCTGCAAGCCCTGAAATGTTAGCCAACCGACCGTGACCCCATGCCGCATTTCGGGTGAAGCACCTCGCAAAAAACCGTCCTCCGCCGAACACCTTTTTGTGGAGACGCGGTGGAGAACGCTGCCCGTATGCACACTGTCCCAATGCTTGAGGTCCTAGAGCCCATACCACAATCCTCAATTGCCTGCATTGCGTTTAGTTGGTGTTGGCGGTGCTTGCGCATGTGGGACTTTCCGAAAATAGGGGGGTACCTTATTTCGGGGTCCTTATAATAAGGATCCTATTATTTGGGGTACTATATTAGGGTCCCCTATTTTCAGGAAACCCCCATGTGGTTTGGGGTGGGCCTTGGCCTGCCGATATCTTCAGGGGGGCTCTGGGTGACAATGGGGTTTAGGGTTTAGGGTGTAGGGTTTAGGGGTCAGCCACCTTGCACTGCACATGATTAGTGGAAAAGGGAGAGCCAGAATAATAGAGACAGAGAGAGAAAGGGAAAGACAAAGAAAGGGAGGAGGAGGGTATTTATTGAGTTACAGTTGCTTAACATATAGAGATATACACATGTATCTGTATATGTATGTACGTACGTATGTATGTATGTATGTATGTATGAATGTATTTATGTATGTACGTATGTATGGGTATAATGTGTATATGTTTTTGTGTCTATGTCTATGTCTATGTCTATGTATGTGTATGTAAGTGTGTATGTATGTCTGTATGTATGTATGTCTGTATGTACGCATGTGTACACACATATATACTTGTTTAGTCGCACATACATATATGCTCGAAACCCGAACCATCTCGAAAAAGAAACACCACGCCGGAGGTCCAAAGCGCCCGCCGCGCAGCTGGGTCAAGGCCACAGCCTTCGATGCTTCCGCAAAGTGGGGTCTTGATTTAGGGTTTTAAGATTAGAGGTGTATGGCTTCTTACTAGGGTGTTGTGAAGCTTTACATGGCTTAGCGGCTGGGTACCCTAGCCCAAAAAGGTTAACCTTTTCAATTATGGTAGGATTATATAAACCCCGAAAGGTTAAAGGTCACCTACTCAGCCACTAAGATGGGCTTGTAGGCTTGCACTATGGCTTTAAAGGTTCTTTCATCAGGGTTTTGTTGGGCCTTGGAAAGAAAGGCTCACAGGCTTCTTTTCAGAGTGTTTAGATCGCTTGGAGGTTCATGGGCAGTTATAAGTGGGGTTAGAAGTAGGGTAACTATACGTATAACCCATACTAGGGGACTTATAATCCTACTTATAACTACCCATGAACCTCCAAGCGGGTTTTGTATCCGGGCCTTGAACAGTTTCGATCAGAGGGCTTTGGGGTCAGTCTGCTGTACTCTAAATAGGCAGGGGTTCTAAGGGATATGCTGAATGTGGGTCGTTCTCTAAATCAGGGTTCCTTTTCAGATCCCAAAATACTACGGCACCCTAATAAAAAGGACACTAACAGTTGGCGTAAATTTAGAGGACTACCCATGTTCAGACCCCCCCCATAATCAGCAACACAACTAGGGATCACACGCTTCGGGTTCTACAGCGGTTCTACAAAAGACTTCACAAGCATTTCAGAAGCGTTTCTGATTATGAGGGGTTTACGGTGGTGAACATTCGCATGTGGGCAGCGGGCAGCAGCGGGCAGTTCTCTAGATTAGGGTCCCTTTCTGGTAGAAGGGGTTTCAAGGCAGTCCTTCTACTCAGGATCGTGCTACGGGATGATGAAGGCCCCCGGCTTGAAATTGAAACCCCTAAGCACAGCGCACATGTAAAGGTTTAGCAAATGCTTGATGTGTACAAGGGATCTCTGGGATTCGGAATCGCAGGAGTTTCGAGTTTCAGGGTATTTGCTGCGGCTTTCTAATGGCGACACCTGTGGGGAGTCTGTTGCGCCGGGCTTACGTTACCTACCCGACCTACCCTGAGCCCTACACTCCTAAATCCTAAACGGTCCTAAACCCTAAACCGTTAACCGAGGGAGATGTTTCAAGACGAGACTCTCTTTCACGGTAAGAAGCAAAACAACATGAGAGACAGCCTACGGGTTTAGGGGTCTATATGTTTGCATAGGGCTGTATAGGATTATATCGGGCTACACAGGGTTATATGGGGTCTATATACGGTATTTTGGGATTATTTAGAGGTCTATACACGGGTCTAGGGGCATAGAGTTTGGGGCTTAGGGTATCCTTGTCGTCAGCCTCAACTCACCCGCTGTCCAGTTACCCCTGCAGTGGCTCCGCCAGGCAGCGACCTCCCCAAAGCCTATTTAGGGTTTAGGGTTTAGGTTTTAGTGCGTGTGATGAGCCACAGGATTTGGTGCTGGCGCGACGGAGGCTGTTTTTGTTCAAGAAAAAGGCCCTGGGAGGGTCAAGGTGCGTGTCGTGATCCTAGGAGCCGTTCAGCTTTGCAGGGTTACTCAGAACACTTTGTGACTGCATTTCTTCCTTGAAGGGGTCACTTAGGTGGTTCTTTCTCTAATCTTGGGTTGTAGTTCACGTAGGTTATCAGCCGTAGCAGCTCTAGGACTAGGCCTTGTGGGTTTGGGTCCTGTAAGGGGCTAAGACCGTAGGTCTCTACTAGGTTACGTAACCGTCTTGTGCGTCTGCTTTAGCCATGGATCCCCTGGTGCGTAGTCGAAGGGGAATGGGCGTGAAAGAGTCAGACGAGGCCAGTGTGGCCACTGAGAAGGAATATCGTGCAGCCTTGAGTCAGGCAGGAGCTGGAATGGTTCCTGGCACTGTGGCCAGTGGAGCCGCGGTGAATGGCGTGGCCCCTGGTGAAGCATCACCCGGGACTTTAGAATCGGGTGAAGCTGCTGGTCGATCACGAGAGGTTTCGATGCCTGTAGCTAACCCGTTCCACAGCGAGCGAGTTCGAGCGGAGGTAGATCTTATCCGCAGCCGACCTGCTGCCCTGGACGAAGATGCTGCTAGACTTGGGCTAGAGCCTGATGATATTGGGCTGGGAGCTACTGTCGGGCAGTATCCAAGGGAGCCAGACTATCAGGCCCTCCTGGGCGCTGGAGGTCAAGTCAGGGAGGCTCCCCGTGTGGCCAGAGTGGAGCCATCTGCGGAAAGGGCGGAACCTGGGATAATGGTAAGCGACTCACCTTCGAGGATGACGGGGTTGGAAATCCGAGAGAAGGGCCAGGAGGAGCCGGAAGAACGACGAGTATCAGAGGAGGCTGGGAGTCCAGAGAATCTGGAAGAAGCCGGACAAGATCTATGCGATGACTCCCGTGAACTGATACCTGCGGAGCTGGATAAGCTGGGAAGGATGGAAAACATGCTGTTGCAGGTGATGGAAGAGAACAAGAGCCTGAAAAGGCGCTTGGAACATGAGTCGAGATCTCATTCATCGTGGCACAGCGGAGTAGCTCCTGACCAGGCATTTGGATGTACAGCCTGTGTTGCCTGCGGATTTCCCGGGTCAAACGACTATGGATAGGTTTATGGGTTTTGATGGGAAACCGGGGATCTTTCCGGGAGGCTTGCACTCTTGGTCGGGAGCAAGGCCAGAGGTTTTTTGGACGTCTGGGGTTCCGGGTTTCCAGAGAGGATTCGGGGCCCTCCAAGCTGGATCAGTAGATAACCACTTGATAGGTAGCATCGTGCCCCCGCCTCCATTGCCATTGCCTCCTGTCCTGGTAGGGGAAACCCAGCAGGGATCGGAACCTCCACAAACCATGCGGCAGTTTGCTGAGGGCATGAGGGGTGTAGCGGGAGGGTTTCATACTCCTAGGGGTGTGGAGCCTAGTTCTAGGTTTAATGAACATGGGTACCCCCTCTCGCCGGGCGGAACAGTGATTCGCCCACCGCCAATGCCACCGGCGTCCTTGTCCAACGCGCCGATGACCTTGACAGGTGCGCCCGGGATAAGGGGTTTAGGGGCTGAGAGAACGGGGGATGGAAGGGGTGAGTTGGGGGAGGTTTCCAAGCCAGAGGAGCCCGCCAAGTATATCTCCGAAATCCCCAAACTGTCTTCTGCAGACTTATCTAACAGTGCTATCGTGTGCGGTAATTGGGTAGCTCAAGTTCGCCAGATATTTGCGGG